AATAACTAAAAGGCAGAAACAACTCAACTGTCCATTGACTTATGAATGGACAAACAAAATGTGGCATTATCTATATGATGGAATATTATTCACCCATGTAAAGGAATACAGTACTGATACATGCTATCACATGGATGAACCTTGAAAACATTAAGTAAAAGAAGTCAGTCACAAAAGACTGTATTTTTATCCCATTTATATAAAATGTCCAAAATAAGCAAATCCATAGACAAAAAGTAGATCAGTGGTTGCTTAGGCGCAGGGGGAATGAGGAGACTGTGGGGGACAGCTACAGGGTACAGGATTTCTCTCTAAGATGATGAAAATGTTCTGTAATTTACTGTGATGATGGTTCCACATATCTTTGAATATACTAAAAACCACTGCATTGTACACTCTAAATGAGTGAATTGTATGGTATGTGAATTTTCTCTCCCTCTATATATATGTATATATGTATATAGCTCCTACCCACTCCTCAAGCTTCATCCTAGACCTTTCCCCCTCATTCTCTACTCTTAGTCACAATGCCTTCTCTCAGTTTCTCCAAAAGATCAAGTGCCTTTTCACTTTAGTGTCTTTTCAATTGCCAGACCTTTTGTTTGGAATGCCCATTCCCTTCTCTTCACTTAGCTATTACTTAACCAGCAGATCTCAGGTTGAGCAGTATCACACCTTCATGAGAGCCTTCTTTCATCCTCTAGGAGAAGGGAAATCTTTTTTTTTTTTTTTTTAGACACAGGGTTGTGCTCTGTGGTCGAGGCTGGAGTACAGTGGTGTTATCATAGTTCATGGTAGCCTCAAACTCCAAGGTTCAAGAGCCCTTCCCACCTCAGGCTCTCAAGCAGCTGGGAGTGTATGCCACCACCCTGTTAATTTTATTTTTGTAGACATGGGGTCTTGCTATGTTGCCCAGGCTGGTCTTGAGCTCTTGGTCTCAAGTGATCCTCCCAATTTGGCCTCCCAAAATGCCAAGGTTACAGGTGTGAGCTACCATACCTGGCCAAGAAGGGAAGTCTTCTGTCGGCAGATCTTCGGTAAGATACTGTTGTAACAACTCATACTACTACTTTATAATATATTACACAAATATAATTATTTACATTTTTCTTTTTCACTAGCATATTTGTTTCACAAGGGGTCACATCATATTTGTCTGGTTTACTGATGTATCACCCGGGCTTCTCATAGCACCTGGCAACAGGTACTTTAAAATATTCAATAAGTATTTTGAAGATGAATGAATGCTAGAACATATCCAGTGAATGAGTCCAACCAGTCTACATCTAACATCTCCCTACTTACTTATCTTGTGCCATTCCTAAAATACACTTATCTTGACCTATACTTGATGTACCACATTCAACTCATAATTCACTAATATTTTGATTTAACCCTTTGAGTCACATATCTGGTCTGTTACAGGTACTATCTTATTGATTGTAGGTTACAACATTTCCAGAAGGCAGTAAAACTAAGTTTCTTCAAATAACAGTTCATGCAACAAGGTATTTAATAATGCAGTCTTATAAATAACCTGATATCCCCATCCTTTCTGGCATCAAGGTCTTAATGATGAGTTTAACTCATTTTACTTCTCTCAGCTCAGAAAGATTTTTTAAAGAGAGTTTTTGTCAGCTAATGAAAAGATTACTTTTGCATTTAGTTTCTAGGTGAAACTAATAGTATCTAAATTATATTTGAGCTATTAAGTATATAAGTATTTACTATTCAAGATTGACTTAATACTATTTCCTTGGCTGGAGACCAATTTTAAAAAGACAGTTACTGGCTCTGAAACCTGTTAGCCCAAAAAATTAGTTTCCTGCCATTTTATGTAAAGAAATGAAAAACAAAAAAAAAAAAAAAAGAAAAAAGAAAAAGAAAAAAGGAAGGAAGGAAAAGAAAAGAAGAAAAACACTATTTTCTAACTCAACATCTCCCTTAACTTCCTTCTCAAAATGTGTCGTTATAAAAAAAAGTCTTTATAATAGACACATTAGAGCTGTCCTTATTATAATAAGCAAAAATAAAAAGTTCTATTTGTATTGTATCTTGTATCTTGTTTAATTTGTATTGTATCTTTTATACTTACTACACATATACACACACTCACATGGGACCTGATGGCTTCACTGCTGAATTTTACCAAACACTTAAAGAAGAATTAGTACCGGCCGGGCGTGGTGGCTCAAGCCTGTAATCTCAGCACTTTGGGAGGCCGAGACGGGTGGATCACGAGGTCAGGAGATCGAGACCATCCTGGCTAACACGGTGAAACCCCATCTCTACTAA